TCCGACCCTGTATAGACTATAGAGGGCTGAATCAAATAACCATCAAAAATAAGTATCCCTTACCATTGCTTGCATCAGCTTTTGAACCTGTTCAAGGGGCTACAGTGTTCACCAAACTCGACTTAAGAAACGTCTATCATCTTCTTAGAATAAGAGAGGGAGATGAATGGAAGACGGCATTTAAGACTCCCATTGGCCAATTCGAATATTTGGTTATGCCTTTTGGTTTGACAAACGCTCCTGCCTCTTTCCAAGCTCTTGTAAATGACGTTCTCAGAGATTTCCTCACGTTTTGTGTACATCGATGACATCCTGATCTACTCAAAGAATCTGTCTGATCACAAGAAGCATGTCCGTCTGGTCCTCCAAAGACTGCTTGAAAATAAACTTTTTGTAAAAGCTGAGAAATGTGAGTTTCACCAACCTTCTGTCACTTTTCTAGGGTTTGTGCTCGAGAGCGGGCAGGTGAAGCCATCTGAAGACAAAATAAGAGCAGTTTTGGACTGGCCTACTCCCGAGAACCGTAAGCAGCTTCAAAGATTCCAGATTTTGCTAATTTCTATAGACGATTTATCAGGAACTACAGTCAAACAGCCCAACCTCTCACAGCTCTGACTTCTGTTAAGAAAACGTTCCTCTGGTCTGCAGAAGCCGATGCAGCATTCAACAAACTAAAGGCTCTCTTTTTCAGCACACCCATACTGATTCAACCTGACCCCTCTAAGCAATTCATATTAGAGGTGGATGCATCTGATTCTGGAGTGGGAGCTGTGTTGTCTCAACAATCTGATTCATACCAAAAAACTCACCCTTGTGCCTTTTTCTCACGCAGGCTTTCTCCAGCAGAGCAGAATTATGATGTTGGTGACAGAGAGTTACTAGCTATCAAGCTAGCTCTGGATGAGTGGAGACATTGGCTTGAGGGCGCTGAACACCCTGTCTTGGTTTGGACGGATCATAAAAACCTGTCATACATCCAGTCGGTAAAGAGATCTAACCCACGTCATTCCCGTTGGTCTCTGTTTTTCTCGAGATTTAATCTGATCATATCTTACAGACCAGGTTCCAAGAACATTAAGCCCGACTCTCTTTCTGGCCTGTATTCATCCGATAAGCCTTAAACACCTGAGCCTGTTCTTCCTGCCACTTGCACGGTTGGAGCCGTTTCCTGGGAAATCACTGATCTAATCAATCTTGCCTTGGCTTCTGAACCTGACCCAGGAAATGGACCTCCAAATAAAACTTATGTACCCACTTCTGTCAGATCCCGACTCATCCAGTGGATGCATGCAGCTAAATTCTCAGCCCATCCAGGAATCAGTAGAACCATCGCTCTCATCACACGGCATTTTTGGTGGCCGTCCCTTCACAAGGACGTGAAGGAGTACGTGCTGGCCTGTCCCATCTGTGCCAGGAATAAGCCGACCCACCAACCACCTTCTGGACTGCTACATCCTCTGCCTGTTCCGTCTCGTCCATGGTCCCACATTGCAGTGGATTTCGTCACCGGTCTCAGTTAGTAGGACTGTGTGTAATAAACACTGTATAACAGCTGAAATAATATCTGGTTAAATAAGATATTTTACCCCCCCTACAGGGGGAGGGCAATAAACCTCTTAAAGTATCAGAAACATAAATTCCCAGCGGGCTGGGAATAGAAAAGAACATAAAATCACAACATCGGATTCAGAAAAAGATGTTGAAATGTCTCAAAGGTCGGACACAGGCGAGAGCGTATCAGGAGATGGAGACGGAGGCGAACAACACTGTCATGATGGGTTTCAGAAAAGCCCAGTATGCAGAACACCACGGAAACAGAAAAGTTTAACAAGTTTTATTGAGCACAAGCACATGGAATAAACACAGGAACTGGTTCAGGCCTGGGGGCAGGTTCACTGGAGTCTGTGAGAATGACGGTTCAGTTAGCTTGGAAGCAGATGAGTTTGAGTTTGAGAGTTTCAGGTTTATACCTTGAGGAGTCCGGGTTTGGCTTTGAGAGAGGAACTGTTGGGTCCAGAGACGGTTAGTTCAGCAGAGTCCAATAACCGCTTCAGCGTCTTATTTCTAGCGTGAGGGCAGACCTTGGCTTTGGGTTTCCAGCTCTTAATCCAGAGCTGCATGGGAATCCAGAGAAGAGTCTTCAGGTTAGGCTCAGAGGGCAGGCTCGGCAGGTTAAGCTCATCCAGAGCTCACAAGGGAAAACTGGATTCCTGAAAGCAGACACAAAAAGGGATTAGAATCCAATCAGGAATCAGGAGCAACAAAGGTTCTCAGAAGAAGCTAGGCTCAGGTGCTAACCAAACTGGATAAACACTGCGGCGTTGAGGCAAGGTCTGAAGGCGGGTTTGGTGGATCCTCTGATGATGAGATGCGCCTCAGGTGTGTCGAAGGCTCAGCTCAGGAGGATCCACGGCGGACTCTGCTGGAGAAAGGTGGAACTTCTCCAGATTCCAACAAACACCTTCCTCATCCATGGCCTTATCTCAAAGCAAAATCGTATAGTTGAGCTTTCAATTCATATAGTGGCATCTGGCAGTTTTTTTTAAAGGTTGCTTTATACTTTTATACTTGAGGTAGTTTTTCGAGCACATACTTTTTCACTTTTACTTGAATAAAGAGGTCAAGTTGATACTTCAACTTTTAAACTGTGAGTGTTTTTAAACTGCAGTATCTATACTTGTACTTAAGTAAAAAATGTGTGTATTTTTGACACCACTGCCTGTTATCCTCACAACCTCCACCCACATACAGGGGACCAGAACATCTTGCCTGTTCAGCCAAGCCAACATTTCGGCCACTTTCAGAGACATGAACCAGTATCAGGCATTGCAGGCTAACAAAGAACCCAAACAACTGCCCATTCCATTCATGGATTTATTTCAAGATCTATTCATTTTTTTGTTTTTTTAAATTTTATTGTGTAAGTTTAATTAGATTTAAATCTTTTTGTATTGCACTAATTCAGAATACACACTTCACTTTCTGACACGTTTACCTCCAGAATCGCCTGTTTTTACTCCCTCTGACCATCTTCCCTGTGCCTTTTAGCATTCCCAAAGCATGATGCTGCCACCATCCTGTTTTACACTGGGAATGGTTTATTCAGGGGGTTGTGTACTGTTAATTCTAGCTTTGCTATTAAAAGCTGTCTGGCTTTTAAACATAGATGTTATAACATTTTATCTCTTCACACTGAAACTATCAAGGGATAAAATGCCTCAGTGGAAACGGTAACACCTCACACACACCTGTTTTGCACTATCCCCCCCCCACAATCTGTGCCAGTACTGTTTACATTTCCTTTTCACTGTTTACATTTCCTTTTCACTGTTTACATTTCCTTTTAATATATTTATATATATTTTTTTGTAACTGTTTACATTTCCTTTTCCTTTTAATATATTTATATTTTTTTATTTTATTTTTATTTTTATTTCACGGTAGCTGTTATGGAAGTCCCAAATCTCATTGTATCTGTCGCAGAATATAATGACAATAAAGGCTTTTTGACTTTTGACTTTGACTTGTAAGGATGTTTGTGAGGAAGAACTCTAGGATCTTCCTCACTCTATTGTGTACCAGCTCTTCCTCTGGCTCACTGAGTCTGGTAGTGGTGCCACTGGTCAGTACTTTGCTGACCACTCTTGATGTTGGTGCTGCTGGCTGTCTCTTCTGGTGTCCTTCTGCTGCTCTTTTTCTCAGGGTTCTCTCTGGACAGAGACTGAGCTTCTCCAGCAGTGAGGCTGCTGACGTTGCTGCAATTTTCTTTGCAAACCTTTTTGTTGTCCAACTTGGTGACATCTGCTTTTCTTTTCCTGCACCATGATTCATCCAGGCGGCTGCTGGGCCCAACAAAGACCTTCCGGTCATCTGAAAGAGTTCCTTGGTCAAATGTTTACAATCTATTGCTGATTTATTCAGGAAGCAATACAAGAGGATAATAACTGAATTAAATCCAAAACTCCTCTTTTAATTAGTCATCAAATCAAAAGAGGAAATTATCTTATTGTGTTTCTCAAACCTGTCTGATGTTAGTATATTAATATAAGACCAGGGGGGATTAAGCCCCAACTATTCCTTATTTTTGCACATTAATGATGTTTTTGGTAAAAACTTTTTTGCTAAAGTGCCATCAGAACCCCACCCCCCCACAGTGTCCACAAAATTGGATCAGTTCATTTGCTGCACATGTTCAGAAAGGTCCAAACAGACAGCGGTGTTTCAAAACAGACAGGAAACAGGAAAACAACAAGAAATGGGACAAAACATAGAACAAATAATGTATGTCTGTTCCATAAATTTTTTTAAAATCTTTATGATGGGTTTGTTTTATGTCTTGTCTTCTCAATTCAGAGGGCCCCTGGCCGGTCTTTGCCTAGGGCCCCAAATTCCCTAAATCCGTCCCTATATAAGACAAAACTGCTACGTTTCTTTCCCTAAAATTTAACTCAGAATTTACATTCTTGTTTCTTCTTCCATATAACCTGAACATCACCTTCTTTTCCAGAAACAAGAGCAGGTGTCTCCATGTTGCTGACAAAGTTCCAATGAAAATCTGTTCAAAGATTCAAAGGCATCAATTTTGACAATTGATGCCTTTGAATCTTTGAACAGATTTTCATTTCTTTCTCTATGTCTCCACCACATGTAAAATCACTAATGCTAGTTGATCTGACTGAGCAGCTACACCTTGTTCCATTTTTCTCATATGGGGTCCCTGCTAGTTTACAACCTCTCTGTCCTGCATAACGTTAACTTTAGACCAAATTATACTCCAATCTGGTCAATGCACTCCAAACCAGTAGAGAGAAACAGCTGATTTGATTATTTATTCTTTTTGTGACTTTTCCAAAGTTATCTTCAAATTGTACGGGAGCATTGAATGTATGGATGAGCAGGTGTTTTCTTTCATATGCCGCTGTCCCATTTGTACCAGTAAAACCAAATCACACTAGACTGAAAGCTTCTCTGCTTTCCAGTTACACTGATTCAAAAATTCATTTTGTAAAGTAATTGCATTTTTATTTTCAACTACATACACATCAAAACATGAAGGCTTCTAGGAAATGTTTAGATTACAGCTGCTGCTCCGCATGATAACGTGTGAGTTTAGATGGTTGGTGCTTCTTCTCAGAGTCCAGTGGAGATCAAAAGATTGCTTTAAATATTTTAAAAGTTGAAAAAGAGGCTAAACTTTTCTGAGAACAAACTTCTTACATAGGAAGCGTATTTTAGACAGATTCAGGCCATACAGAAACGGATTAAGGAGTGGCTGGCTGGTGAGATAATACAGTGGAAATATTGTTCTTAGTATTCCAGAAATTTGATTCCTGTTAAATCTGCTCTGTATAATTTCAAAGCAAACACCAAAAGAGAAGTTGATAATCGAACTGAGGTGAGGAGTGCAGGTACTGACAGCTTTCTGCCGGGTCTGTTTGGACCCTGAAAAACACACCTTAAAGATCTTCATGTAGGTGTAGAGAATCACAGATAAAGGAACAAAGACTGCCAGAATAAGCATAACAAATTCATAGATGTTATTAACCGTGGCGTCATTACAGGATAGTTTTATGATGGAGTGATTGTCACAATAAATCTTATTTATAACATATCCACAGAGCTGCAGAGAGGAGCTCAGTAGTATGGTGACACCAACAAAGAAAAAAGACTGCAACCATGTGATTGATAAGAGAAAGATTATCCTCTGAGGAGTCATCAGTGAGTTATACTGCAGAGGACGGCAGATAGCAACATATCTGTCATAAGACATGACAGCTAAGTTACTGAACTCTACACTTCCATAAGTAAAAATACAGAATATCTGCAGGAAACAATGTGGAGCCGAAATAATGTGAACATCAGAGAGGATCTGAAGCAGCATGAAAGGAAACAAGCCTGAGCTGCCGTACAGTTCATTGACAAACAGGCTGCACAGAAAGATGTACATCGGTTCATGTAAGCTCCTGTTCACACAGATAACAACAATCAATAGAATATTAGAACCAACGATCAGAACATACAGAAACAGGACGATGATGAAAGAGAAGTATTTCAAAGAACCAGTCTCCACATATGCACTAAGAGTAAAATATAAAACCTGGGAGGAATTCCTTGTCATTCTTAATTTTGTTTGTAACATATAGATGACTGGTTCAAGAAACTGAATACAGGCAAAAGTTACATGCTGACAATTTTAGAAAAAGGCCAATTTTGCGTTAGATTAGAAAAACTAAACCAAATATGGTGTTAACTTAAAGAAAGTACAATGAGAAAGTGAAGCAGGGAAAAACCTAACGGCAACGGGAACTCAGGACTCGAGTTACTAATCAAGCTTAGATCGGCTTCCCTTTAAAAGTCCAAACACAGAGACGCCCACTGCAACACACCTCGTGATCCGTCTTCTCACCAACTATTATCAGAGTTTTATAACTAAAACAACGTACTTCCTCTTTGATAACCTGCAGTCCACCAACATGGCAGCTGCTTCTGTACTTTAATCAGAGGAGGGTATCCATAGTTAAGTTTGCTTTGATAATTTTTTTTTTAATAAAAGAAACAAAAAAATACTTTTAAAAGTATTTTCACTAGACTGTACTTAAGTAATATATTATGAAATATAGCTTCCTCTTCTTTTTTACGGGTTATATTTCTTGCTACTTTACCTGACTTTGGTTTCTTTATTTAACTAAGAAAGAGAACGTTTTAATAAAAACTACACTAGAGATGCACACATCAAAACCAGCTTTATTCTTAAGTATGCATCATAGTTTTTTTATACAACCAATTAGTGTTGCAGCGATCCCAGTATCGGACAGTGCCCCTATACTGCACTAAATTGGTGGTTTCGGCGAGTACCAACAAATAAGGCACCGATACCATTTTGAGAGTCAAAAGTCTATTCAACTATTGTCTCCCATTCCAGGTTGGCAATAAAAAGTTCTTCTGGATTCATTTTGTGTCTTTTTCCTGCTTCACAAAGGTAGGCAGCAGCTTGACAAAACCATGAAGGTAATTATTTAACATGCAAGTAGTATGCAGTTCTTCATATATATACACACACACACATCAATTCAAAACAGATGGTACCTGTAAGGTATCGGTATCGGCCAAAACTGCACAACCAGGTATCGGTATCAGGGCCAAAAAATGGCATTGGCGCAACACTACAAAGTAGCCCTGCTTTATTTTACTTTGCCTTGCGTTTGGAGGTGAGCAGCAGCCTAGTGGTTAGGGCAGTGTTTTTCGATCCTGGTCCTCAAGGCACCCTGCCCTGCATGTCTTAGATGTTTCCCAGCTTTCACACACCTGTTATCAATTGAGAGCAGATTATCAGGCTTTGCTGAACTGCAATCATCTGAATCAGGTTTGCTGAACCTCAGAAACATCCAAAACATGCAGAGCAGGGTGCCTTGAGGACCAGGATTGACAAACACTGGGTTAGGGCATAGAGCTTGGAATCCTGAGCTTTTGAGCTTGAACCCCACTCTCACACCAGTGCCACTTTGGGTGCAACGCCCTTAACCCCTCACTGCTCCCCAGGCTCCCCATGACGGCAGCCCACTGCTCCCCAACGGGATGGGTTAAAATGCAGAGGTAAATTTCTCCAATGTGAGATTAATAAAGTTCAAATATTGAGATTTATTATGCTTTCAGTGAAGACATTTCAATATAAAAGTATAGTTTTTTTTTTTTATAAATATGATTTAAAAGTGTCAGCTAAGTGGATTGGTGCAAATGGCATACTGCTAAAGGTGCTCTACCTGTAGTTCTGAGAGAGAGCCCAGAACCAGGGTGTTTGATTCATGTCATCAAGCAGTGTTGTGCCTGAACGCGTTCATTGAATGAAAGTTCATGAACTCATTCATATTTTGGGCGAACGTGAACTGAACATACTGTATTACTGCCTGATGAACGTTATTGTGAACTCGTTCATTCTGGTGTCTGTGAACGGCACGCTCTCTCAGTTCAACTTCGTTCAATAGGTTGCCAGATTTCTATAGAGCCCTCCAGGCGAAACCCCGGCTAAATCACACCGTAAACAGGCCACTGTCATCGAGGTTCAGTGTTCTTGAAATTTTAGATGTGTTTTTAACACACTTCAAATTACACCATACTGAGGAGGTAAGCCATTCATTAGATTTAGACGTGTGCGAGCAGAGACTAATCTAAAGGAGCAGGACATCAGACCTCGAAGGCTGGAATTGAAGACCACAGGCTTACAAAATAAACATCTCTTGAGCTGCTAGATTTTGCACAATTGCAAATTGTTACAGTTTCACATTCACAACTGTTTTTTTTTCTGCTCTTCCTAATTGTGATGTTTGTTAGTTTCTCCGTTTATTATCATGGTGATTAGAAACAGAAACATCTATTTGAGGATGACATCAGCCTGTTGTCAAGGATGGGGTCATTAAAACCTTTAAAAGCATTGGTCGAAGGTTTAAAGCTCAGTTCAAAGGAGCTCATTGTGTTGATAAACTAACGTTATAACATTTTTACTTCACGTTGTTCATTTTTTTACTTAACAGTGATGTATATTGACATTCACATTCGAAAGGTAATGTTTTTTTTAAAAGAAAAGCAAATCTAGATCTTTGATCTAAGCTTTTCTAAACACATATTACATTTCTATGAAGCATGAGGAGCACCATGACGAACTTTACACATTTTTCATTTTTTACGCTTGATGCATATTTTGATATCAAACAGCTGAGATACATTTTATTTATGTTTGTGCTGTTTCTGTATGTTCTGATCATTGGTTCTAATGTGCTTCTGATTGTGCTGATCTGTGTGAACAGGAGCTTACATGAACCTATGTACATGTTTGTCTGTAGCCTTTTTTTGAATCAACTGTATGGCAGTTCATCATTGTTTCCTTTCCTGCTGGGTCACATGCTGTCTGACACTCACACTGTTGCTGTTCCACTCTGTTTTATGCAGATCTTTTGTCTTTACACATATGTAGGCGTGGAGTTTTGTAATCTAGCCGTCATGTCTTATGACAGGTACCTAGCTATCTGTCATCCTCTGCAGTATCAATCCCTGATGACCATGAAGAAAGTTGCGGTTCTTATTGCCGTAGCCTGGATTACTGCCTTTCTGATCGTTGTTATTACAACATCTTTGAGTTTCTCTCTGCAGCTCTGTGGAAATGTCATTAATAAAATATACTGTGATAACTACTCTATAGTTAAACTGGCTTGCTCTGATACTACAGTTAATAACATTTATGGACTCATTTCCACTGCTCTTATTGTTTTTGTTCCATTTGGTATAGTTCTCTACACGTATCTGAGAATCCTCAAGGTTTGTTTTTCTGGATCTAAACAGACCCGACAGAAAGCCATCAGCACATGCACTCCTCACCTGGCCTCTCTGATTAACTTCTCGTTTGGCGTTTGCTTTGAGGTATTGCAGAGCAGGTTCAACATGAGCAGCGTGCCTCATGCTGTCAAGATATTTTTGTCACTGTATTACATAACATGTCAGCCACTGTTCAACCCTGTGATGTATGGCCTAAAGCTATCAAAAATACGTAGCTCGTGGCAACGACTGTTTCGATAAAACTGGATCAAAAATGTTTACTGCTGTTCATTAGTTTTTTGTGATGGACATCACCTGTTAAATACCTACAATCTGTTGAGATGTGAATAGAGCATATTGTGAAAATAACACTTTTTTCACAATTTTAGCAGCACTTTTTTGAGAGATTTAAGCTGTTTCTGAATGTATGCCCTAACCGGCTAACCAATCAATCAATACATAAGGCGGGGACTATGCAGTGGACTTTATAGTTGACTTAGTGAAGTGACTGTTCAGCCTGTGGTCATGTGACTCTGGCTCCTTGCATGCTGCCTGTACTATCTTTGTTGTCTCCCGCCCCTAAAACATATTAAAAAAAATTTTGCAAGGAGAGCTCTACAAAGCATTCTGGGATATATTGGCTTGTCCAGTGACCATCAATGTACATTACTTTTCAATGAGCGTTGTGAAAAATTTTGAGTGCAATATTTTTTCATCCATTCGACATTCAGACACTCATATAAAATGGTGTAACCCCTACATACTGTAGTGCTCTATATAGGGGTTAGGGTGCAGGTTTGTACACAGCCTCAGTCTTTTAGACCATAAAATGTGGGGTTCTAAATATTTAGCAAAATGTTTAAGTATTTAGTGCAGGGGAAGATCATTCAGGACCTGGTTAAAAAAAAAAAAAAAAAGGTCAAACAATCAAAAACAAACTTGACCACATTTTTTGTGTTTAAAACATTAAGTTTTATTAATTGGGGAAGAAATTCCAAGATTTAAACTGTTTGTTAAGGAATTGCTGTGCAAATCTGAATTTGCATGCAGAAGGGACAATCCAGCTGCCTTTTTTAGTGCCGTTATTGTCCTGGGACACTGGGAGATGTTTAATCACATGCACTGGGATTTAGATTTAATGCGGAACTGTTTGTTTTGTAAAAGTTTAAATGAGACACATTCTCCTTTTCTTTCCTATTCTTAGTAATAAAATGTTTAGGTGAATTTCTAAAAAGGTTACACGATGTTTAAACATTCACCTAAATGCTATATTTCGTGACTTTTCAGAACCCTCTATTTTAGACCTATTTATTTTAAAAAAAAGAGCACCTAGGGACAATTCTGGTGACCATTTTCCATGTCGTTGCAGACCAGTGTCGATTTTGGCGACAGTGTGTATGCAATGATAGCACTGAATTTCACTGTCTTCAGCGAGCATTGAGTGCTGCTTTTAGCTCCTCCAAATCACTGACAGGCAGTCAGGGTCAGCAGCAAAGAGATGGCAGAGTATATATATAAAGTCAGCTGAAATTCTATATATATTTCTCAATTTTTAAGCTTTTTGAGCTTAAAAATTGTGAAACGAATTTTGTATATCCTCCTTTTCTTTCCTCTTCTCAGTATTAAAATATTTAGTTGACCTAAACTGGAGTTTTGGGGTTTTTTTTGTTCTCAAGATGGCAAGAACATAAAAAATGTATTTCATCTTATACAATTCTAATCATGTTACCTATTCACTATGAAGACCCCTCCAATGTTCCTACCAGTCCTCTACCCTACAGATCAAATAAACAATGTAGTGAAATGTTTAGTAAAACCAATATAGGTATATTGTGCCTACCCATATATTTGATTAATCACTGATTCTTGGGAATTTGGATAAAACAGGTTTTAATTTTGAAAATAAAAAGTTAGTTGGATTACAAAATCTGAAGGTATATTGTTATAGACCAAGGTCTTGGCTGTTCAGCAGTGTACAGGTGCAACCTCCTCATTTTGTATTTCTTTCATAAAATAGGCATTTTTCCAGTTATTACTTTGTTTTTTCAACACCATCAGACACAATAAAAAGCTAATTATTTTTTATTTATTTGGTCTAATAAGTATTTAGAGTTTTTAAATCTTTATCTGGCATTGTTAGCACACATTTATGCTGTTAAATGTTGAATAATCATTTTTGTTAATTTTTTTTAACTGTATCATGTGTAGTCCTTTAAAATATCTAACATCAGATAACGTTTACTTTAAGCCTAAATAGAAAAAGTCATGTTTTTTTATTTAACAAACATATTTTTGTATTAAAAGAGACCATTACTTTAATGAGAGAACAGCACTGAAGAAACATATTGCAAGCATATTAATTTAAAACGAATAAAAAGCCCTCTGACGGTGGTGACTTTAGAACTGAAGGTGGTGACAGTGGCCTCATTTCAACATACAATTCCAAACTGTATACAATTCAAGTCAATGGTTTCTTGCTTATTAACTTTATTTAACTATTTGGTCCAAAAAATAACAATCATGAGCACTGTGACAAATATTTTTCAAGGAATATAAGGTACAATTAAGAAATATCATTATCAGTCAGAATCATTCTCTGATGCTTTATTTTCTTGCGTGTGATTGTGTCCTGTTTGTCAGTTGTCATTCGTGCTGCATTATGGTAGAAATTTTGAACCTTCTGAGTAATTGCTTGAATATATGTAGGTTTTTTGTCAGTAGGCCTTCACACTTCTTTTGATATTCCCTGTTTCTTTTCCTTCTTTCCTTCACAGATAGCTGCTTCCTAGCCATAACTTCCTAAAATACATAAAGTCAAAGTTGAGTGTAATGACTATGAAATTGGGGGGAATTACAGTAAATGTTAGATTTGGTTAAATGTTGCCCTGCCATAGCTTACAAGGAATATTGTATACTATGTGCTATGTAGGTAGGTAGTAGGTGCACTATGTGCATCCCAAATGATGTAAACCAAATGAACATGGCATAATAGTGAATTGAGAGACAGGGAAGGCACACCCCATCCCCTAGGGTTATACAATATGTAAGAAATCTAGGCGGAATTACATAAATAAAAATATAAAAGAGGTTAATGAAACATTACAGATCAACAATTATTTTCTAGCCTCCATTGAGAACCATTTGTAGTTTTTTGTCACCACCGTCAGACTGTGCGTCACCACCGTCAGACAGAAAATCTGACGGTGGTGACGTCTGACGGTGGTGACAAAATCCTACTCTTTCACATGATATGCATGAGTTGTTCACATTAGCCATCTTGTTTCCCCTCTGTTGCTAGCTACTTTAGACCTCTTCTTAAAAAGTAAACATTTATGTCATAATCTAATCTAATATTTTTTATACAAAAGAGACGGTGTTGACATGTTATGGTTGTGACATTAGCAGTGTCCAAAAATATGAACAAGTTTAAGAGAAAATAACAAACCTACAGGAGCTTGAGTGACCTTAAGGCATCCAGTAGAGCTGAAGATTTGAAAATGGGTACCTCAGGCATGTAGTTGACCTTTTAGTTGCCTGATTTTATTGCTTTTTATAAATATCTGACGGTGGTGACAAATATGTGGGACACATTTTGAGCAATCACAAAATAATGGTTATTATTGTTCAAAACTCACTGTTTGTAGTTTTAAATACATATTAAAATGTACCCTTTCATTTGGTAAAGATATTATTCAATTCAATTATTACTTTTTGTTTTTTTAATCAAGTTGAAATGATTATCTCCTATCCAAGGACAACTGATTTTATAGGCAATGGGCCAGCATATAATCATTAAATTAACAATAAAATAAAAAAACTTTAAAAGAACCTTGCATTTGTACAAAGGACCCCCTGATTATAACCTTGATTGTTTTTATTCATGAAAATTTTATTTCTTTCCAACAGAATTAGCACTTTTCTTAGTGGGACATGTTTTTGCCAAAGTTTCAAGAATCAGTGTAATAATAAAATGAGCACTCAATAATGTAAGTAAACCATTTAAGTGGTCAGATTTCTGCAGGGTTGGATTGTTTGAACCACTATGATCCCAAACTTGAAATAAGTTTGCCTGAATTTAAAAAAAATGCATAGCCCCCTTTCCAAGTGGCCAAAAAACCTGTTTAAAGCTACAGTGTGTAACTTTTAGCGACATCTAGTGGTCAGACTGCAGACCGCAGCAACATGAACATCTCCCCCCCACCGCTTCTCCCCCCCAACAGTACGGCGAGTGTTACGGGACAAAATGTCTTCCACGAATTCCGCATCACCTACCTTCTCAAGTGATGAGGTTTGTTTACATAGATAATTTTACAGATAGTATTTCATTAGTCTGTGTAGGGTATAGATTTCATGTAGACTTAAGATAATAAATATACCCGTTATTTTTTCTACATCGTTGTGATATTTTGGCGATCTAGCAATCACTAGTTTGTTGGCTCTGCGCTGCCGTAGGGCATAGATGTCTGCCTCCATGGCTGCGAGACCCGCTCCTATGTAATTATAAATAACGAATTCTAAGGCAATGCAAATATTAAGGTTAAGAGGCTGAGCTCGTAGATGATGATAAAATAACATAGTATAATATATTACATTTCTGACTGTATATCCCTGTAATGATTACACACTGTAGCTTTAAGCCTGTGAGCAAACTACTTTTTGTCATGATGGGTAAAGGTTTCTAGCCCATATGCAGAACACACTCTGAGAATTGGAAAAAGTTCAAAGGTTTATTTATTGTTTAGAACAGAGCAGGTCAGGATGTCATCAGGTCCAGGGCTGGTCACGGCTGGGTTGCTGACCTGGAGCTGAGCAGAGCAGCAGAGGGGAATAATCCAAGGAGGGTTCAGAGGCTGGCGGCAGACTGAGGGCTTGGAGGAGGCTTGGCTTGGCTGAGGCTTGTAGATCTCCAGTTTTGGGTTCAGAGGCAGACGGCAGGCTGAGGGCTGAGGTTTGAGCTGAGCAGGCCGAAGGAGGGAACCAGGAGGGTTCAGAGGCAGACGGCAGGCTGAGGGCTGAGGCTTGGTTCTCCTGGGTTCTGCTGAGATCAGGCAGACCAATCTTCGGCAGAGAAAACTCTTCCGGGGGCTTTGGTTGCAGGCAGGTTCAACCTGAGAAGCAGAGAAGACAAAGGATCAGGTTCAGGCTCAGATCTCGTAGTCAGGAGACAGGACTGACTGGTTGGCTCAGGGTTTGATGTACCATGATTGACTAACACTCTGGCACCGGAGTGTGGTCCTCAGCCTAGTTAAGTACTGGTCTCCTGATGAGCAGATGAAGAACAGCTGGTGAAGTCAGCTCCAGCCTCAGGAGATCCAGTACGCCCTCTGGTGGAGAAAGGTAGACAGGAAAACCCCAGATCCCAACAGTAACAGAAAAAATCCCCAGGAAGGGATCCTCGGCGCCCTCTAGTGGGCAAGCCTCAGGATCCCAACAGAGCCCCCCCCCCCCCCCCCCCCCTCAAGGGCGGCTTCCTGACGCCCTTAGAACAGTTCAAAACAAAAGCCAAAAAAAAACACAAAACAACGCACCCAGGGTGGGCGGAGGGGGAAACAGGCAAGGAGGGCAA